TATGAATTTATCTGCTTTGGCTCAACGAAAATACAGATGATATTGTGATGATTGTTCTTGACAGATCAACAGAAATATTGAACAGCCAGGCATTTTTAGATATTTAAAGCAAAGTGACTTCAAAGATTCAGCTATAAATGAAGTGCAGGATGAGTCTCACATCCAGAGTCCTCAGAGCTGTTTTGCAACTCAAAGATGTTCCAGATGAGTTTCCCCTTTTTCCCCCCAGGTTTTGCAGTGTTGTTCTATAACCTCACGCAGGAAGTTTTAGAGTGAAGCTTGGAGTAAGCCTTTCCTTGTGTGCCATCATCACTATATCTGAAAATAATTGTGGCGATCATCTAGTGTATCAGAATTTCTTTTTAAAACCATAAAGATACTACCCAATAATCCCAACACAAAGACTATGCCTCCAAGTAAAATACATAAATAAATGAGTAAATAAATTAAAAGATACCTGTAACTTTATATTACACACTGTGACTTCTTTCTATCTATCTATCTATCTATCTATCTATCTATCTATCTATCTATCTATCTTCCAGCTTTATCAACAACAAGAAGGACCCCAAACCATGACTGTGGGGGGTTGTGTATTGATGAAAATCTAATAATTAATATATAATAAAAATGTAAAATAATTTTTATTATTAAATAATTTTTACATCACTTAAATCACTAAAAAAATGTTGCTTACCTGCATGTGACCATTAGTTGACATCAGAGAATCAATACATTCTGAATATTTTACAGCCAATGTTTAAATATGCAGTCATTTAATTAATAAATAGTAACTTTAGTTTGACTATTTTAAAATGTAATATAATTTTAAGTACTTTATTTTTGTAATCTGATTATAGAACCCATGTTTAATCAGTTACTACCAAGTACTGTTTATTATTTTTCACTTTCTGTCACAACTACTTTTCTTACAAACTAAGGCAGTTTGAGAAACTTTTTTTTTGGCCATTTTATGATCTGTTGGGTGAAAAGTTGTCTGATGTCCTGAATATGTATATAATAACTTTACAGGTAACTGAACTACTGCTCATGTGCATATAATACAAACAGTGCAGGATGAGTTATGTGCTCAAATTAAATGTACTTTGATTTAAGATTCAAATCCTTACCTCTAATTATGAGCTAAAGCAATAGTATTGCCGCCTTCGCACACACTACTGAATATTAATTAGCAGCTGTCACCTCTCAGGGTAAATTATGACAGTCTTCTGAAAGTTTGATTAAGAGTGAGCCTGTCTCTCTACACCTTTGAGTGCCATAACAGTCCCCAAAAAAGCACTAAAGCTTGTTCTGTGAGTCTCCTGTTCAATGATGTGACGTCAAAGAAAGAACGGCTCACTATCCCCATGAAACCCATTACAGAAATTTCCCCCCTCTCTTCTCTTGCAAAGTCTGTTCGTTTTTTCTTCTTCTGCTGCTGCACAGTTCAAACATTTGATCTGATAAGAGTGGAAAAAAAGCTGATAACAGATGTTTAATGGTCTGGCCACATATCAGAATTGAGTAACACTCCGGGCTATTGCAGAAAACCCAGTAGTGAGTGAGCAGCAATGCAAGAAATGTAACATTTAGGAGGTACTCAGGAGACCTTTCTGTGTGCTAAGAGTGCTGCAAGTGCAATACATGTCATTTCATCAGCTCGGTGTGTGTTATGACATGAATAAGATTAAGCTCATAAAACTGGATGACTCAGATTTGCACTTGTGCCCCGCCAGCAGACTGTCTTATCATTTCTATTTCTGCAGGATTTGCTATGCCTCCTCCACTGTCCTATTCTGAAGAAGAATAGATTGAGGTAAGAAAGCGACGGGAGATGGGAAAGTTTACGCAGAAGACTGGACCGAGGACAGAGAGAGAGAGAGAATGGACACACGGCAGTGTGCAGAAATCAGAGAGCTCATCAATCACTCTGTAACGTTATGTAATGGAGCTCTGCAGGAGAGGGTGGAGACCCACACGAACAGCTGCGGCCGATCTGAGCACGCTAAGCAAGAGTAAGCGGCACTGTGGGAAAGCAAAGAAATGTGGGAGTAGGGGTGGAAAGCAGTTACACCACATTTATCCTGCGGCCAACATCACGATCGGCATAGTCAGGATGATTTTTATATTATAATGAACTCTGTACACTGTCTGCAAAGAGCTGGAGTGCACAAAGTCGACAATTCCTCGGCATGTGTTCCTATCCTGGAAACTGTGAATCCATGCATATGTATGCACTCCATACACACAGTTTAACAGATAGCCAGTAATGAGGTGTTGTTTTGTTGTAGCGGTTATAATGCAGGGCCTGTAACTGGAACATTTCAGGGTTGGGTTCTGTAAATATTTTCATATTCATATTCCCATGTATATCTTTCATAGAGCAGTGGCGTGCACAAACAGGGGGGGTCCAGGGCCCAGGGGCACATAGAAATCGCAGTCCGGGGGCACATAGACCGGACTGAAAGGGCACTTTACCACCGGCGATTAAAGGGGCAGGCGTGGACGGGTAAGTTTAGGTTAGGGGTAAGTATGGACATTTTAAAAAAGCCTCAAATGCACATTCTGATAGGTAGCATTTTTCGCTATCGATTTGTGCTACCTATCTTTTTAATGGTAGGTAGCACAGTCTGAGCGGGTAGCACAAATCGTCAGAACAGCGGTGAGACTTTTTTTATATTAGCGACATGTTAACATGCTAGCAACATGCTGATTATACTAAAAACATGCAAGCAACATGTTAACATGTTAACTACATGCTAATCACATTATAAACATGTTAGCAACATGCTAATCATGCTATCAATATGGTAATCATACTAGAAACATGCTAGCAACATACTAGTATCATGCTAATCAGGCTAAAATCATGCTAATCATGTTGGAAAAATGCTAACAACTTGTTAAATCATGTTGTCAATGTGCTACATAATACTAGCAGCATGCTATCAACATCCATCTAATCTATCTATGTAAATTTTCAAACTTCAAGCCTTTACAACTGTTTAATACTTTCAGGTTAGGCTTTCTCAAGCCACCCTAAAGTTTGCCTTGACAAACTTTTTTTATCTAGTTTATTCCTGTGTTGGCAAAGCTGAATTTTCAGCATCATTACTAATCGTTCAGAAATCATTTACGCTGATGGGGCTAAGAACTATATCAAATAAATGTTTAAATGAGAAAATGAATGGGAAAAATACCTCTGGAACCAAGGCCTCTGAAAAAGTGCCAAGTCGTCACTGTTGGGCTCTGTTTATCCCTGCTGGTGGATGTCATAACTACATCATTATGTTGTCAAAAAACATGCTTCTCTATTGATGGCCTTTTAAAGTAACTGCTTTTTCATATTTCATGATATTATCGAAAATGTTCTCCAAGGGAGCAGCTATATTTGCAAGGCTCTTAAAAGCATGAAATAAAAAAAAATTTGTGCTTTTGACAAGTGATCAGTCACATGTTTCTGAAACCGAGTGCCCATCAAGCAAAGATGGCATCCTCTAGGTCGTGTACTTCAAGGGGGTTATGTGCTACAGAAGCCGAGCGACTGCAATTGAGATGAATGGGAATGCTATAGGATAACTTTCTCTGTGTATTACAGACCTCTGTGGTTCATTCGCTGCAAAGAGCGAGCCAAAAGCCATCACCACTGTGCCCTTGAGGAGGCACTTAACCTCAGGTTTCTCCATGGGAATTGTCTCTATAATAAAATCATGCCATCATTCTGTTGGAACATCCTACAGGCTGTTCATTTGGTAATAACCAAAGATCATATTAATAATAACAAAATAAAAGACAAAATAATAACAAATGCACTGATTTCTCCTTGGCAGGCTGTTTGACAGCTACTACAGTAAGACTTGTGTGCCAAACATAAAAACTTATCCTTCATTCAGTTTTTACCATTGCAGGCATTTTCTCACTTGGATCAAACCACGTTTTCATGCACGTCAGGGCTCAGACACATGAGACATCACGTTTGGTACAACAGTGCCGTTGCTCGATTAGGAACCAATGTTGATGCCACTCAAAATAAATGAATGGAGTTACAAGCAAGTGGTGTTGAAAGTTTGCCTATCATCTTCAACAGCTCAAAGTAGAAAGCTGTCAGTCACACTCCTGACCTTCACATCCAGAACATGACCTCAGAGGCCTGGAATCAGAGCCATATGATCACCACGCTATGAACGCAGAGCTGAGAGGTCATTTGAGAAGCTGTTATTAGCCCTGAGCTCAGGGTGAAGGAAACATGTAGTGTTCACAATCACTTTGTAGCTTCTGCTTCAGTAAATGATCCAATTTGCTTTCGATTTTTCTTATCGAATGCGCATCGAAACTGTGAGAACCGTTTTGAGGGTTTTACATGAGCCCCCCGCAGGTGCTACTAAGCTCCTCGGAATGTGTTGACACTAATCCCATTTCAGTTTAAGCTATTAAACCATCTAATAAGTTTTGATTTATCTGTTCCCCGCTAAGACCTTTTTAACGTGCAAAGCTACTGCATTTCAGGAAAGGTAAGGGGTTATGTGTTTCTTGGAACTCTTGTCGATTCCCTCTGTTGGAGTCTCTTCATGTTAGTGAAGAATGCTAGAGATTAAACATATGTAGTTATGGGTTTACTAAAAGCTTCACTGCCTTGTAATTTTTGTGGATCCGGCCCTGTTTACTTGTTACTGTGATTTCTTTTGATGTGACAGTTTTATGGGGTATGTTTAAGGTGATCTGCTCTGAGGAAGCAATTAGCCAACTTTTCCTGCTTTAGAAGTGGGAAGACGCCACTTGTCAACTTTTGAATGAATGACTTGGATGGGCACTTACGGGTTTGAAATGGTACAGCATGTCTGCAATATGCTCCCTTTTGTCGCTAAGCAATGTTACACTATATACCGACAGAATACGCTTTTGCCTTCGCTGGTTGTCAAACAGACTGATAGATACAGGATTGGTGCGTTTTCCCCGGCATAACATTCTTTCATTTTTGCTCCGTCTCTTTTGCTTTGAAGTTTGAGATGAAGGGGAGAACAGCTGGGACATCTGAAGCCAAAGGAAGAGTGTGGGAGGTGGTGTAAAGTGAAAGTTAAGCATTGTGGGTAAGTGTTTGTGTGAGTGTGTGTGTGTGTGTGTGTGTGTGTGTGACAGGTGTCCACTGTCTCTCGTTGGAAAGGGACAGCAGCTATATTTAGCACCTCTGACAAGTTTCCACCACTCCTGTCAGGCAACAGCATACCCATAATTACAGTGTATATGTGTGTGTGTGTGTTTCAGTTTTACTGCATTTCAGTCTGGTATTTAACGTCAGAGGGCCGTAAGAGGCATTGTGGGAGTTCTTGTTATTTGTAATTCATCAACCCTTATTTTGCTCTAAATCTTGATTAACATACAAACCCTGCAATTCAACTGTTCTGACCTGATTCATTTCAATTTCAATTTCAATGTACTGTTTGCACATAATTACTAAAACACAGTTTCTCTTCAATAACCTTCATGTGGATTATTTCCATTCAGCAACAGAGGCACTGCACATGTTCTGCTGTATTTTACTTCCACCTAGTGGATGACTGCAACATCACACATGAAGCAGAAGCATACCCTGTTGAAAAAACCAGCATATGCTGGTTAGGTATGTTTTGACGCTGGGATGCTGGTTTAAGCTGGTCCTTTGCTGGTTTAAACTGGTCCTTTGCTGGTTTATGCTGGTCCTTTGCTGGTTTAAGCTGGTCCTTTAGCTGGTTTATGCTGGTCATGTGTTGGCAAAGGACCAGCATAAACCAGCAAAAGAACCAGTTTAAACCAGCAAAGGACCAGCTTAAACCAGCATCCCAGCGTCAAAACATACCTAACCAGCATATGCTGGTTTTTTCAACAGGGTATATTTTGGCCAATTCAATTGAGAATGACATTACATAATACTGTTATGAAATATTTAAACAAAAAAAACTGAAATGTGAAAAAGTGGTTATGTAATAGCCTTTTGAGACAATGTTTGAAAGCAACAGAAGTACCGCAGTGTAAATTCAGTGTAAACTGATTTAGGCCTACTGAACATCATATGCTGTGCTTTAAAGTTGTTTGCATAATTACGCCACCAAATGAGGTCTAAGAGCTTTTTCAAAACCTGTGAATGCAAACACTGTCATTTCAAATTTGGTGGCAGTGAAGTGACTGTGATATGGAAAGCGGTTAACTGGCTCTTTGAAGGGAGAGGAGCGGTGGGTTTCCCTGTCAACACCATCTTCTCAGTGGCAGATGAGGTCAAACAGGAGGGGTTGTTCTAAACTGCCAACAGGATGAAATTTTAGACACTCTCCAAGGCCCCCCTATCTGTGACTCCTCCAATCCCACTTCACGTTGTTATTCTCGGTGCCCTCTAAGATTTATGCTCGTCACTTACGACTTGCCTTCGCTTTGCGATATTGTGATAGGTAAGACGTTTATGTGTTAGATTTGCATGGATAAATCTGTTCTGTACTTACACCATAGCTGGATTTGAGATGGATTTGTGTTATCAGCTTCCCATAAAATGGACCATTCATACATTATAAGTTGTTTGCCTGTTATGCAACGTTTCATGACCTTTGGAAGAGATGCATGCGTGGACACCGGCAATGTGGACAAATGCAAGGTAGAGCAGTAACGTTATTATATACTTAACTTTAAAAGTAGACAGCATGTTTATTCTTTCATTCCTTAAAATCGGGTTTCATTATAAAAATAAGTAAACGCAACAAGGTTTCATTATGCACTAAATAAAACAACGTATAAAAATAATAAACGAAATGTATAACTTAAAAAAACACCTAATTTAAAGTAGATTTGGGTTTGAATTGACTGCTGGCGAGCAGTTTCGTTTTTGATCGAATCATTTAAGTTAATGAATCAAATCAGGTTCGAATGAATCATTAATATTTCTTGTTCAAGTCGCTTCCTTTTGAAGCACTTGACTTCCTTCCTACCCAGTGATTTGAGAATGAAGCGTCGTGAATTAAGGCTGGCTTAGGAATATCATACTACCCTTAATATTTAAATATATTTGCTATTTATCAATAATAAGCATAGTAGTATTCAATTCTCAATTCAGCCCAGTGGCGGAGTCAGAAAGTGGTTGGCGGGTGGGTCTCTAAGAGTGGGCAGTTACACGGATTGCAATCCGATCTCGCAAAACACTTCAGAAGGTGGTCTGAGACACATTCCAGAAGCAACCAGATAAGTGTAAATGCATCGGGTTGTTGAACAACATATTCATTCGACCACTTCGCTACTGCAACACGCATCTTCACAGATATCCCTTTTGAAAAAACCAGCATATGCTGGTTAGGTATGTTTTGATGCTGGTTTAAACTGGTCCTTTGCTGGTTTAAACTGGCCCTTTGCTGGTTTAAACTGGTCCTTTGCTGGTTTAAGCTGGTCCTTTGCTGGTTTAAGATGGTCCTTTGCTGGTTTATGCTGGTCCTTTGCTGGTTTAAGCTGGTCCTTTGCTGGTTTAAGCTGGTCCTTTGCTGGTCCTTTGCTGGTTTAAGCTGGTCCTTTGCTGGTTTAAGCTGGTCCTTTGCTGGTTTATGCTGGTTCTTTGCTGGTTTATGCTGGTCCTTTTGCTGGTTTATGCTGGTCATGTGTAATAAACAGCATAAACCAGCAAAATGCTGTTTTTTTCAACAGGGATGACCCACTGTAGCCTAGATGAACGTCTCTCTACACAGCAAGCGGACACGCAAACTTCCGCAAATGAAACTGACAGTTCGGCGTCACATTCAGGGGTACAGTCATCTTAATTAAAACTAGTGAGACTAAATTCTCTAACCACTGATGACATTGGTGATACCTATTTAAAAAATGAGTGAGGTCTGGGGTGGTTTAAGAATTGTGCTCTGCAAATCAATGCCTTGTCCAAATACCCACACTTGCTGTCTTTGCACTTGACTACTTATATGACGTATTTCCTGTATTTGGCCCAAGTGTTCAAGTGAGCATGAAGACCACAAGTGTTGCCTTGTCCAAATACCCACACTTGCGGTCTTGGCCACTTGAGAGCGCGTGCGTGACAGGAAGTAAGTGCGCAAGACTGTCCCAGGTCTTAAAAACGCCAGAGCGCAGTACCCTTAACACACACTAAACCCACACTATCTTGAATACCACTCCGGAGCAGTATTCGAGGCTTAGTGTATCCCATCATGCATCATGTGATGGAAAAAAATCGTGAGACTTTTTGCCGAGATCTCGTGAGAGGTCACGGAAACCTTTCTAATGTATGTGAAATATTAATACTAATTAGATATTACATGTAGTTTGGTAGTACAACAAAGAGTTGCATGTTTTATTGGTGCAAATGAGTAGTGGTGATAATTATTTTGTACAACATTTGCAACTGCTTTTTATCACTAGAAGCACCACAAAATTAAATTGTGTCATCTGTTATAGGGACTACTGAACAGACATTTAGAAGTTGATTTTAAAATGCAAAGTATTGAAAATAAAAATAAAGCTATGTAAACACTTGCATTTTTGCAACACTATAAGTGTGTCCCATCAGGTAATGAAAAGTTCGACACACACTTGTGGTCTTCATGCTCACTTGAACACTTGGGCCAAATACAGGAAATACGTCATAGAAGTAGTCAAGTGGTCAAGTGCAAAAACCGCAAGTGTGGGTATCTAGACAAGGCTGTGGTCTTCATGCTCACTTGAACACTTGGGCCAAATACAGGAAATACGTCATAGAAGTAGTCAAGTGGTCAAGTGCAAAAACCGCAAGTGTGGGTATCTGGACAAAGCTGTGGTCTTCATGCTCACTTGAACACTTGGGCCAAATACAGGAAATACGTCATAGAAGTAGTCAAGTGGTCAAGTGCAAAGATCGCAAGTGTGGGTATTTGGACACAAGGCATTTGTGTCGAACTTTTCATTGCCTGAGGGGACACACTTATAAATGCAATTGTTTATATAGCTTTATTTAAAAAAATGTTTTTGCATTTTAAAATCAACTTCTAAATGTCTGTTCAGTAGTCCCTATAACATGACATACTTTTAATTTATGGTGCTTCCAATTAAGCGATACAAATCAGTTGCAAATGTTGTACAAAATAAATACCACTACTACTCATCTTTGCACCAATAAAACGTAAAAACACTGTTTTTCCATGCGTTTTATATGTATGTAAATTATATTATATCTATGTAAATGATATGTAATATCTAATTATTATTAATATTTCACATACATTGGAAAGGTTTCAGTGACCTCTCACCAGATCTCAACATGATGCATGATGGGATACACTAAACCTCGAATACTGCTCCGGAGTGGTATTCAAGATAGTGTGGGTTTAGTGTGTGTTAAGGGCACTTCGCTCTGGCGTTTTTAAGATCTGGGACAGTCTTGCGCACTTACTTCCTGTCACGCACACGCGCTCTCAAGTGGCCAAGACCGCAAGTGTGGGTATTTGGACAAGGCACAAGTATAGGTAACTCATTAGGTTATATACACTAAACACGTTTGTGAAAGATGTTTTCTCTGTTTTGGAGGGATGAACACTGTTAAATTATATTTATTGCATCAAAATGTGTTAATAGGCTATCTTACTATAGGTTAGGGATAATTTTATACTACCAGGCGCGTCACGTGACTAATAAATATTCATGAGCTAAGCTTTCTCCGTAGTACTATTGGCGAATTCGTTTCCTATCTAGGAAGTTAAACATTTCCAGTAGTGATTCAACGCGATTAAGCATTTGCAGTGATTAATATCGTTATCGATAGCGACATTTCATATAATGTGATGAATATAAACACAAAAGAAGGGCTCATTTGAGACGGTAGGCTGTTCTTTACGTGACTTTCTATTGCTGATGTGGAGCACAAGCCATCACGATCCGAGTGTAACCCATCATTGTTTTCCGCATCTGTCCTTCTCATCGATAACATTCAGTTTCGATGCACAAACGCGTGACATACATTTATTTGTTAGAGGAACGGTTTTGTGATATTTGAGTTTTGTCAGTGATATCTGTGGGAATGTACGACTTGTTATTGCTATGGCAACGTGTCATCAGTGCTTATGGACCAAACCATGATTATCATCGGTGTGATCAGAGATGGAAGTGAATCAGATCAGACTGTTGATACATTGTATATCATTATATTGATAATAAGTTCTGTTTTAAGTTGCTTGATAGAGCCCACTTCCAAAGTACTGATGCAAAATCTGTGTACTGATTAACATTGTACTGAATACATTAACACTGATGCAGTAACATTTCTGCAGCTTCACTCTTTACAATTGCTTCATGTTCAAAATCACTTACAGATAAATCACTTAAAATGAATGTTGTGAGGAAAAATACACGTTTACACATTTTGCAGCCACATTGAGAGTCTGGGATTGGGGATGTAAAATAATTATGGAATGGTTTCAGTGACCTCTCACCAGATCTCAACATGATGCATGATGGGATACACTAAACCTCGAATACTGCTCCGGAGTGGTATTCAAGATAGTGTGGGTTTAGTGTGTGTTAAGGGCACTTCGCTCTGGCGTTTTTAAGATCTGGGACAGTCTTGCGCACTTACTTCCTGTCACGCACACGCGCTCTCAAGTGGCCAAGACCGCAAGTGTGGGTATTTGGACAAGGCACAAGTATAGGTAACTCATTAGGTTATATACACTAAACACGTTTGTGAAAGATGTTTTCTCTGTTTTGGAGGGATGAACACTGTTAAATTATATTTATTGCATCAAAATGTGTTAATAGGCTATCTTACTATAGGTTAGGGATAATTTTATACTACCAGGCGCGTCACGTGACTAATAAATATTCATGAGCTAAGCTTTCTCCGTAGTACTATTGGCGAATTCGTTTCCTATCTAGGAAGTTAAACATTTCCAGTAGTGATTCAACGCGATTAAGCATTTGCAGTGATTAATATCGTTATCGATAGCGACATTTCATATAATGTGATGAATATAAACACAAAAGAAGGGCTCATTTGAGACGGTAGGCTGTTCTTTACGTGACTTTCTATTGCTGATGTGGAGCACAAGCCATCACGATCCGAGTGTAACCCATCATTGTTTTCCGCATCTGTCCTTCTCATCAATAACATCCGTTTATTTGCTAGAGGAACGGTTTGTTGTGAGATTTGTCAGTGATATCTATTGGAATGTGCGACTTGATATTGATATTGCTATGGCAACGTGTCATCAGTGCTTATGGACCAAAACATAAATATCATCGGTGTGATGAGAGATCGAAGTGAAACCTTTCAGATCAGACTGTTGATACATTTTAGATCATTATATTTGTACATTTGTATCATCATTATATTTCTATTTAAGAGTAGCTTGAAGGAGCTGACTACTAATGCAAATATCTGTGTACTGATTATTATCATGCATAAGCACATGAACAGGGATGCAGTAATACTTGTGCAGCTTCACTGTTTACACATGCTTAATGTTCAAAAAATCACTTACAGATAAATCACTATCAATGAATGTTGCGAGGACAAATGCATGTTTACTTTATTTGTAGATTGGGGTTCAAAAGACTACCGCATTAAAATACTGGAACTGGGAATGTAAATGAATTATGCAATAAACAATGTCATTTTAGGATCATTGATGGTTTGAATCAGTGTTTGCTTTTATTTTTCATTTTCATTTCTTTTTTAATTTTAATTTTAAAATAAAATGAGAAATGTAGCTGAAATAAAAGTTTTGTTGTTGTTGAATATTTCATTTTATTTGAGTTGATGCTAACTTAAAGTAATAAAAATGTGATTTTTAAAAAAAAATGGCTTTTAGCTTTGGTTTTAGTTTTAGTGAGCTATAATAATCTTGGTAAATAAATAGGACATTGTAGGATTTAGAAAAAGCAAACCTGGTAGTACTGATTTGAAGTGTTGATTTTTAACATTTAAGATACAAACATTTATAATATTATATTTTTATATTATGTAAAATCTTAGTGTAGCCATTAGGGGTCTGCGATAATATCGTAATTGTTGTTTTAACGATGTGCGATTTTATCAAGTATTTTGCAAAAACCATTCAAAACATCCCTACAGAGTGCATGCATGCATTACGTGAAGTCTAGACTAGTGCGTGCGCGCATTTAGAGTGCGTTCTTTCACTGCATGATTCAGTCTATTAAAATGCATTTAGAATGATCACAGATTCAAGACATGATGGCAGAAAATTTATATATTTATACCACTTCATATAGTTATTCAATTTCACACGAAGAGTGATTACAAATGTGACATTGAATTCAATAAACAATAAGCTAATTAAGAGACTTACGTTTTAGACACCATATTGCTTGTTTTTGTTCTATTTCACCAACAAAAATCATTCCGAATACAGCCACAGTGCTGTTTTGTGTCTCTGAGCAACATGACGGTGTTTCGTTCCTGAATGAATCAACCGTTTAAATGATTCGGTTTAATCGCAATGACTCACTTATTAACAGTGACTTGCTGCCACCTGCTGGCAGTTTTAATTTCACATTTCGGCTTTTTCTTTCTTTTCTTTTTTTTTCATGTTTTAAATCATTTCAAATATCAGTATTCAACGTTTTATGTTTAATATATCAAAACATTATTTATGCATTTGTAATTGCAGGTTAAATGCATTCATTAAACAAAATAGATGTGTGTAAATAAATACATCTAAATGCCACTTCAGACGCTGCTTCTGTGTTGATTTAATTAGCTTTGTAACAGCCCAAATGTCGTATTATTCTAATTCCCTGATTAAATGTAAGAATTTCACTCAAAAGAGAGATATCATTTTTTTGTCAATATCGCACACCCCTAGTAGCCATATATTTTATCATTTTATTCAATGTTTTTCTGAACAAAAATAATGCAAAAAAAAAAGTGTGATATCCTAGAATCAGAATTCGCTAGAAAGCATTACATCACCAAATACTTACGTTTGTTGTGCAGCTTGTCACTTAAATTATTTATCATTAGAAAAATGCAGGAAAAAAAAGCATCTGGTCTCAGACTTATGAACCCCAGCCATATGTTTTGGCATAAATTAACCCCTTTTTTGGATGTACCTACATTGGTGTTGAAGAGCTGTCTTCAATTTCTTTTCTGTTGCTCAGAGGGAGCGGACCAGAGACTCCACCATGGCAGGAGATGAAGTTCGGCAGAGGAAAGGAGGTGGCCGCAAGAAGCCCAAAAAGGGGAAAGGGAAGGGGCAGGGTGGTTTGGATCGGACTGGCAGTCTAGAGGGGCAGAATGACCTCCTGTTACCCCCTCCCACCATACCACTCAAAAAGCCTGTGGAAGACAGGCCCAAAACAGCCCAGGCTAAGATAGAGGATGAGTCGGCTGTTTCTATCTGCCTGCAGGTGCTGTTCCCCTACCTGCTTGCTGGGATGGGGATGGTGATGGCAGGCATGGTGCTGGACAGTGTGCAGGTAAGAGACTTTTGAAGAACTTTCTGCAACTTTATGTAACACTTTATAGCCTGACATGACTTTCCAACAGTTTGAGGTTGATGCTATAGCAGCTAATGTGCCCACTTTAATTATCCAGCATGTCAAGAGCTGATATTTATGGTCCTCACTGACAGGAAGCAGAGTGTGAGGGAAATTAATGTGATGATTAAAATTCACTCGGAAGGCGAGGGACTGAAAAACACTCCAATCATTAAGCATTAATGCAGGTGGTCACCCAAAAATGATGTCATTTTGAAGTCATTACAAACCTGTATGTTTTGTGGAGATGTTTAACAAAATGATCAGGCTATGAATGAACGGTTTTTGAATAGTTTTTTAGTACAGTCAAGGTCCAAAAATTGACAAAATAAACAAACATAATAGGACAACGTTATCAAAGTACCATAAAAGTGGTGACTCGTGTCCCTTTCTTGAAGCTGGGGAACTCCAGTCACTACAAAATGAAATGTGGCAAAACATATATTGAACACATTTTATTACATATTGCACGTGTTCGTGATACAGACATAAGATCCTTATGTCCACCAAGAGATACAGATCTTAGAAGAAATCAGTCAGAATTGCGAGATTTAACCTTGGAATTCCAAGAAAAAAATAATGAAAAGTCGAGATGTAAACCCAGAATTACTAGAAATAAGTCAGAATTGCAAGATAGAAACCTGAAATTTTAAGTTAAAAAGTCAGAATTGCGAGATGTTGACTCAAAATTGCGAGATATAAACTCAGAATAGTGAGAAATAAAATCAGAATTGTGAGGTCAACTCAAAATTAGTCAGATTTGTGAGATGTTAATTAATAATGGCAAGATATAAACTCAAATTGTGAGAAATAAAGTCAAAATTGCAAAATGTAAACTAGGAATTGCTAGAAAAAAGTAAGAATTGTGAGATGTTGTTAATTTATAATTGCAAGATATAAACTCAGAATTGTGAGAAAAAAGTCAGAATTGTGTGTTATGAACTCAGAATTGTGAGATGTTAACTTAAAATAGCAAGATATAAATTCAGAGTTGTGAGATAAAAAGTCACAATTACCTTTATTTTTTATTCTGTGTCAGAAACAGGCTTCCATGTGAGAGTAAGTAAATATTGAATATTATATCCTGTGCATAAAATTTGTTGTTATAGAACCAGTTGTCATATAATAGTCTTAAGAGATGCTGTGTTCTGACGGTGTTTAATGAATGAGATGTCTGTCTGGATTTGCTGCGTCACTGTGCCGTGTTCACGACCGAGCAGGTTTTTTTTTTAGCTGAATCATGCCCCTCTTTCCAACGTGTCCTCTACGTACTGGCAAGCGACAGAGTGGTGAGTAATCGAATAATGCTGGGAGTGGATGGAAGAACCCCATGGGTTCTCAATCTGTCTCTTTGTCTCTCGTACACAATCTCGATCTATCTTTTCCTCTCCTCTTTTCCTTTCCCCCCTCTCGTCCGTCTGCCAAGCACTCAGCCCATTCACAGCTGATAAGACAGGTTCAGTAATACATCAGAGGAGACATTAGCAGAGAGCAGGACAAGGGGACAGACGCAAGACTCTGAGCAGATGAAACGGTTGATGGGAAGTAATAAGGGTTAGACGAGTGACTGTTCGAGGGCCTGATGCACCGGTGAGGAGGGGGCCTAAAGGACTGCCCACAGGAACGAGTGGAAATAAAGTCTGAACATGTGTTTCTGTCACGTTCTGGACCTGTTAGACCAGGCCTGATGACGGAGAGGAGTTTAAATCGACATTGATACGGACAGGACTGTTTGTCATGTGAGTCACGACTCCTGTGGCGGAGAGAAGCTGCGCTCTGGAGAATGTAGTGTTCGTGTACATGGATGTTCCAGCGAGCTGCGAGTGAAAAAAAGAGGCAGCTTGGGAATTGTAGCAGTCTTCAAGGGACAGCAGTGGAGAATAACTAGATACTTCATTTCATCAGGCATAAGCCAAGTCTCGAAGTTTTTCAAGAAGTGGATTGTGGCGTTCAGAGAACCAACTCAGCTAAGGCTTTTTTGAATGTGAAGGTTCCTGTTTGATTTTGGTCGAAAACCCACGTGGCATTGATAGATGTATGAATGACATCTTCAAGAAGAACTGAAATATATACTGCGTGCTTCAGCCAACTTTTTGGGCCTTTGCTATCGTGGGACAATCTGAGGATACTAAATTGCCTCATCGTTTAATCTTAAGAACATCCTGTTTTCTGAGTCAGCATATTAATATAGTTCTTCCCAACCTGTTTGTATTGAGCTTCTTATTTAGTTTCGAGACATTATGAAAGGAACATTCAGCCATCTAAGAGGGTGTCTTCCTAGGTCTTCCTAGGAACCCTCGTCGATCTCAGTCGTGGCCCTCACCGTTGGGGAATGGGGTAACAGAGATGGTGGTCACTCAGTTAGAGCTGGAGCTCTGTTATCAGGGGAAGAAGCTCAGAGGTTTCACCTGCAAGCTCACTCGTTCGGCTCATGGTTTCTTGCCAGAGAGCTCGTACATCATCGCTGTGCAGGTCCTACTGCCTTATCTGCTGGGCGGACTGGGGATGGTGGCGGCCGGTATCGTCATGGACATTGTCCAAGTATGAGCGATTTAATCTAGATTTGGTTTATTTCTTGGTTGTATCTGTTATTGAATCTGTAAATATTGGCGGTACCATGGTTCAGTGATGGGATCAGATAGTAATACTTTGATACACAAAAAAAGTTGGATTTTTTTGGACATGTGCCATGGTAGTGCCATGATTTTCATTGAAGTACCTTGGAGTACTATGGAAATACCATGGAAGCACTGCAGTATTTTAGTAAGGGTATGATACTATTATATTCATATACCACGGTATGCTCACGTTACTTCAGAAATATCATATGATATACAGTACATGTCTAAAAAAATGACATTAGCATTTTTTATTTTAACCTTTAGCGGGTTTATTTTGTTAGTGGGTAAATGTTGAAGTATATCAGTAGCGAATGTTAAAGGTGCAATAGGTGATTGTCTTCAGAAACATTTTTTGTAATGCTGGTTGAAAGTCTATTAGCATACCTCTGCGCACCCTGTTCGCGCAGACAGGATACGTCATCAGCGCGTTCACGCACGCTGTGCAGACAGAGCGAGAATGGCAGACAAACATCAACAACCCGATCTTCCTTCCTGGTATTGTAGTACTTTTAAAGTTTTCTCACCGGTGAATGACACATGATGTAGTCCAGCGGTTCCCAATTCCTGTCCTCTCGCCCCCCAGCTCTGCATATTTTGCATGTCTAACTTAGTTATCACACCCGATTCAGATAACCAGCTCATTAGAAATGAGCTACGTGCATGAACTGTGTTCCGATCGATATGATCCCTACACAATGTTCATTGCTCCCTACTCTCTGAGCAGGGGAAATCCTTTGAAGTTTACTTCACTTCAGAACATTCATTCACGGATTTGCGCTGCGCAGCGTCTTCACACACATCACACTCACACACACACGTCTTCACATCCAGTGCGAGGACTGGAATTGGGAACAGCTGATGTAGCTTATTGTAGTAATGTTGTCTCTGGTATTCTGGTCTGTGAGTGTATATGCGTTCAGGGGCGTGGCTTTGGACGGCGATTGCAGGGAGGGTGGGACGTTCGCTTTCAGTGCTATCAGGCTAAAGTTAGCATTTTCCAAGATCTCCTACTGCACCTTTAAAGACATAAGCCAGGTTAATAAGAAAAAGAATAAGAAAATAAGACTAAAACGTAATGCTTTAATAACATGACAGCAACAGCAGCTTTAACGAAAACAAATTAAATAAATTATTTCATGAAATTAATTGATCAATTCATTTATTTTATTTTTAAAAAATATTTTTTATATAAAAAGTTCAAATGTGAAATTTTAAACCACTTACAAGGCAGTGTTATTTTTAACTAACACTCAGAAATAATTTTTTGTTAATTGAACATATTACATAGAACAATACATAGAAAATAACAACATGAAAAATTATCAAATAAATAAATATAATACAATAAAAATGAATAGAAATACACACACACACAGACACTTATACAGATAAAACTGTCAAAAACCATTACAAAATTACTGAAACTTTAACTTAAATTAAAATATATAACAGTGCGTATACCGTATGTGCCATTATTACACCTTAAGATAAACTCTAGAATAATGTAGATTTAAAGCTATTGCATTCTAGCACAAAAAAAATATGAATATTTCAGTTAGCAATTAGCGTACTCATTTTTTGTACACTATACAGTTGTCTCATTGGATATCAGCACACTTCACAAACACATGCTAGCTTCCAGTAACGGTTCCTTGTGTTCCTGTCCTCTAGATAGACGCGGTTGGCATGTGTTTTGTGTCTATTAATTGAATTCTCATGGGGGCGGGTGAGAGAATGAAAGCTTGTTTCTAGAGCAGAACTGGGCTAGATCCCAGGACGGGCCTGTGACGTGACACCAGCCTGGACTGTGCCTGTGATAAAAATACCGGCCCCTGGCTGGCTGGCACCAGTCTCTTATCTGTTCATTTAAACATTATGGCTATTTTTAACTTCATGAGTGGGTTTGCGAAGAGAGGAGCTCTCAACTCGTATACTGACAGGCACTAAATTTAAATGCACACTCGCACAGCGCAAGAAGCCATTCATATTCAGTGAGTCACTGACACTTTGGTCAGTTTACCCGTTATGAGATGATATTTATGACTTTGCTGATGACTAGTCTGTGTTTTGGCTGGAAGTATCAGAAAAGGCTGAAACTGACACCTAGTTTGAATTCATCTGTACTCTTTCATTCGATTGAGAGCATCTCAGTTTATGGCCTGTACGTTAAGATGTCACTCAGTTTTAAAATATTGACCATGATGGTCACATTAGCAGTGATAGATGGGAAAGCCAATGCGCTGTTCTGTAGGTGTGGGGCTGCAGTTCCCAGCATGCAACACAGCTCAAATCGGTAATGATAATTAATGTTTTACCGTTTACTGTTATATTATTGCACCAATGTTGTTATGTTTTTCCCTTTGAGTTATGCAATGTAAATTTTGAGTGCAATTTCACATGTAAATCATTGTGGTTTGCACTCCAAATTAATAGTGGGTATACTAATTAGTTTCATTGAGTGGGTTCTTTTGGATGGATTGCGTCAGTGAATGCATTCAAAAAATAGCTTATCAGTTTAATTTAGTTTGAAATTCTTTTGCTATATTCATAACAAAATACTAGCATACTCCACAGTATATATTAAATGGCTCCCAATAAAAATGGAAAAATGCATTTAAATATTAAAATTAATCAGAAGAAATGTATTTTATGTATTGAAAATGTTACAATTATTTACGTTGTTTTTGCATGGTGATATTATAAAAAAATATTATAAAATAAAAATATTTTATTAAGCAGATTACTTTTCCCAGTGTATCATTAATCTAATTAAAAAAATTATGTACTACTGTAATAAAATAATCCTGAATGATTTTTAATTTAATGTTTTTAAAATGTATTTTAAATCTGCATAATTACATTAATCTTAGTAAATACTACCCTGAATTTCATATAATATTTTGACAATATTCCAATAAAATTCCCAATTACAGGTTTTGTTCCTGAGTGTGTTTGTGCCATGTACTGTGGTTTTAAAATGCCATGAAAATCTGTTTTGTTGTTTTAAATGGCTCAATTACACATTTCTCTTTTCCTTTCATAGATAGTGTTTTAACAGTCAACGTCTGTATCATGGGGAGCCTGCTGTTAACTGTTTCAGACAGTTTGTCTAAATATCATCTGTTTGTGTGTTTCAGCATTGGGATGTGTTTAAAGTGATCACAGAAGTGTTCATCCTGGTACCTGCTCTGGTCGGGCTCAAAGGAAACCTGGAGATGACTCTAGCATCTCGTCTCTCTACTGCTGTATGTAAAAATACTTATCCATCTGGACAATATATTCATTACTGTATGTACAGTTTACATTACTTATAATCTATCTCAAGATGTATAGTGTTTAATAGCCTTGAGATGATCAAGTGTGTCTCGTGATTATATTAAAATGCTTCACTGCGGTTTTGTTTCCCGTCTTGCTTAGGCTAACACCGGACAGATGGACGACCCCAAACAGCAGTGGCTCATGATGACCTGTAATCTTGCTCTCATTCAGGTGGCTGAATCAGAAACACACAGATGTTTTATATTATTTATATTATTGATATTTTACCTAATCCATCGGAAACCGGCTTTAGTTCCCATCAGAGATAAATTAGACAATACAAACATGAATCAACTGAACAAATATTCATTAAATGTTAAATAAATATAAAAGAATATGAACAATTACTCTATGAGACTTCATTCTGCAAGAGTCCTCGGTCTTGAATACCAATGAGTACTCATTATGAAAATAGATTTTTAATCAGTTTAATTATGAATGAAGGCATATGATCTTAGGCTCTGATGAGCAGCTGTGATTGTGGAGCTGCTCTGCTGTCTTCCTCAGGTTCAGGCCACTGTGGTGGGCTTCCTGGCAGCTCTTGCGGCCGTAGGTCTTGGTGCTCTGTCCAGAGGGGGTGTAGAGCTGGACCAGGCGGCTGTCCTGTGTGCTAGCAGTGTTACCACTGCATTTGTGGCAGCTCTGTCCTTAGGTACACTACTCCTTATTACTTCAAAATAACATGAAATCAAAATGTGCTTTCTTAATAAATATCACTGGTCTTATTGTTTATGATTCACTAGTTTATGTTATGTAACATAAATATAATTTTCTCATTAGCTAGACATATTTAGATGTTTATATGCTTCTAAAATTATTTTAGTAACAACCAACCATAGGTGGGAAAAAAATACATATCATAAAAAAAAACCTTTCACAATCGACAATGCAGATAAAATCAAGTTCCAATATTACATTCTGCTCAATATATACAAAAGTATAGGTAGGAAAAATTACATATCATAAATAAAATAACTGTCTACTTTTCACAATCCACAATACAGATAAAATAAAGTTCCAATATTTCTTTCTGCTCAGTATATACAAAAATAAGTTTAAAAGTAAAAAAAAAGAAATATATATATATATTTTTTTAAAAATATTTTATATATATATATATATATATATATATATATATATATATATATATATATATATATAT